GATGAGCTTAGTAGGTAAGATAGACCTAAAGTTTGTATTATGTGGTTAGTCAATATTGAACAATGTGAAATTTATATTGTTATCATCAAATAAGCATAAGTTGATGGTAGCATGTGTACATCATCAGGCTGCTTATAGACATTGTTTATGGCATTTGCATGTCTGTTCATGCAAGTGTCTATAAAGGCTGTGAAATATTTTCAAAATGAGAAATGATTCCACGTACACAACTCCAATTCTATTCATTGGTCATAGACAATGCACTTCTATATTTATCAACTCCTTCATTATACCAGCAATTAGAAAATAAATGAACTTAATGCCCTGGGAGATAATTGGTCATATTGAAGCTAAATTCAATATTAATGTGTCATACATCAAGGCATGAGATACTAGGAGAAAGGCCATTAAAGTTATATTTGATAGTTCAGAGGATTCATATAGAACAATGAACTTATTCATGAAAATTTTTGCCTTAGTTATGTCATGAATAGTGTACATGATACATTCTAGCAGCATATATAGATTTAAGAAATTTTTTTGGGCTTTTGAGCCCTTAATTGTAGACTGAAGGTATTTTTAGCCAGTTCTGAGCCTTAATGGAACCTTTCTACTTGGTAAATATAGAAGTACCTTGCTTACCACAATTAGGATGTATGCGAATAATGGTCTATTCCCCTTGGATTTTGCCATTATTGAGTCAAAATGTAACAAGTTTTGGTTATAATTTCTTAGTTGGTTGCATAACACTAGTTAGAACGACACTTGATCTTTGCATTATTATAGACAGACATTTAGGAATAGATCATGGGTGTCTAGATATTTTCCCAAATATGGTTGATCATCACTATATCTAGCATCTAAGGTAGAACTTTAAGAAAGAAATGCACAATATGAGCATTATATATTTTAATTTTTTATGTTAAAAAATATACAAAGTAGGTTCCATTGATGATCTCGGTGCATTCAATAGAAGTTTAGTTGATTTAAAAAATATATAATAATAAGTACATCAATGGCTAGTAGATTATGATGTGGCATGTTGGACACTTACACGTGACAATAGGCATATGTATGGAGTCATGACTAAAAATGCATGTGAATCATTTCATGGTGCCTTAAATGAGCTCATGGATTGCCTATTCAAGTTTTGATTATGCAATCTACTATATCATAATAAGTATGTTCATGCATCAGATAGGAAGATTACAAATGAAGCAGTTGGAGGGAAATAGTCCCTTCGCACAGTGAGTTAAAGAATCATTGAGCAGAATTGAGCTGGAAGCAAGGAGAATTCCTGAGCCTACAAGAATAAACTTTAGAGAGTTTTAGGTGTATAACATGTCTGGAAGGTCATATTAGGTGGGCATAGTGGATGAGTCTAACTGTATCTGCAGTTGTAGAGGGCCCTTAATTTAGCACCTTCCATGCATACATGTTGTTAGCTATGTTGCTTTAATGAGACAAAGTCATTTACCTTATATTTCATAGTATTACACCAAAGTTAACTTCAAACACACATATTAAGCTGGGTTTCATAGTATACCTGATCATGAGTTTTAGCGTAGTCATAAACCTAATAGAGGTATGTTTTATGAAACCTCTTAAATAAAATAAGTGAAGCTCTTAAATATTGAGACATTTCTTTGATATATTGATTATAATTTTATTAAGAAACTCCATAGTTAAGTTTGCTCATCCTGAAGAAATCTAGAGATGGGTGACCTCTTAGGAAGTTACACCAATTGGATAAAATCGTGAGGCCCTTAGTCTAAAGGAGATAATATCTCCATAGTTAAAAGTTTAGGCTATTATAAATGGTATTAAAGAAATAAAGTAGCTGAAAGATGGAAACTAAGTGTCATACAAGATAAAGTTCTATGTCATGGGATCCACCTCATGAAACCTGTAGGGGACAAAGTGTTATATGATGGGAGTCACCACTTAATCTTGTAGGGGACAGCTCTAGAATATTATATATTTGGTGGATAATTCTAGAATAAAGATAATGACAAAGATGGTAGTTACTTAAGTGAGGGAGATTGTGAAATTCCTTAAGTAAAAGCAAGCTAAACTCTTAAAAAAAGATACATCTTTTAGAGTAATGGTTGGAATTTCATTTAAGAAACTATGTAATTAAGTGTGATCATCCCATAGAAATCTTATGATAGGTGATACCCCAAAAAGTTACACTAACAGGATAAAATCGTGAGACCCTTAAGCCAAAGCAGACAATATCCCAATAGTTAAGAGTTTGAACTATTACAAATGATATCATAGTAATACACCAGTCAAAAGATGGCAACTAAATTCCATACAAGATAAAGTGTTATGACATGGGAATTACATGTTGAATCCTATAAAAGATAAAATGTTATGTGGCGAGAATCACCACTTGAACTTATAGGGGTCACCTCTAGAATTATATATGCATGGTGGATGATTCAGATATAAAGATACTGATAAGGATGTTAATTACTTAAGTGGGGGAGATTATGAAACCCCTTAAGTAAAATAAGTTAAACTTAGAAACATCGATACATCTTTCGGTATAAGGGTTAGAATTTCATTAAGAAAATTGCACTTAAGCATGCTTATCCTGGAGAAATCCTAAGAAGGGTGATATCCTTAGAAGTTGTACCAACATGACAAAATCGCGAGGCCCTTAGACCAAGGTGAATAATATCTTGATAGTTAAGAGTTTGGGATGTTACATGTTCCTCTAACAACACCCAACCACATAAGACACCCTGGGAGACCATAAACAAAATGCTACAAGAATATTATTTATGAGAGCAGTTCATCATCAGATCGTATTTGTGGTTTGGGATCATAATAGAACTAATTGTCTACAGGCCTCTTGATTGTAATATTTTTCTTTATGAAATAGTTATTAATATATTTTGTAGTGAAGAACTACTTCTATTTTGCATATGAATGGCAGACTATAGATTGACACTCAGTCAATTAACTGTCACTTGCTATATTATATATTTCTCTCTTTGTATGTATGTGTGTGTGTGTGTGTGTGTGTCTGTGTGTGTGTGTGTGTGTGTGTGTGTGTGTGTGAGAGAGAGAGAGAGAGAGAGAGAGAGAGAGATTAGAATACAATTAATATTTGGGTACAAATAATACGTTTAGCAAGCTTAGTATCATTTTTTTTTTCAAAAATGCTAGATTGACACAAATTCACATTTGCAATCACTAGATGAGTGTCACGACCCAACCAGACCGGAACGAATACCTTCGCGTCAGGTCGCGATGGAATAATCTAGGATCTAGCTTTGGAATTTGCTTTCAGACTTTCTTCCAATAAATAGACACACAGAAAATACAGAGCTACTATAAACATTCAAATATATAGAAATTCATCTGAAATTTTCTTCTTTCTTTCATCAAAATAATCATGTACAATACAGTGCATGGCTATAGACATAAAGAATAGAATAGAACAGAAAAGCCATGATTGTACAAAAATCAAAAGTACAAAATACCTAATCTCAAATCAAACACAGAACGGCTAGTCCAAGACCTCCTTCCCTTTCCTAGAACCTGAAAATCACGTAGATAACAAGAATGAGCTAACAGCTCAGCAAGACTACACCAGCAAATCAAAATCTCCAGAAACTCACATCCAAAATACATCAGAAAAGTAGCCGTGCAGAATTCAAATAATCGTACAGAAAATCGTATAATCAGACAGGATACAGATACTTGTTTAACAGAAGAATTCATTTCATATAACAGAATAGTCAAATCAGATTTCAAATCAGAATTATCTTCAAATCACAGAACAGACAGAATCGTACAAATCATAAAGCACATTATCAAAACAGATGAGATCACATATCACATATCAGATCAGATTCCCGGACCCTGACAGAATCTCAATGAATTCTGGCCTCTTATGCCTCCCTTCCCTGACACTAACAGAATCTCAAAGGATTTTGGCCCCTTATGCCACCCTTCCCTGACACTGATAGAATCTCAATGGATTCTGGCTCCTTATGCCTCCCTTGTGCTTTACAGCACCAGAACATATCAGAGATAAAGAATTATCAGATCAGAACTTATTTTCAAATTTCAGATTCCCGAACCTTGACAGAATCTCAAAAAATTTTGGCCCCTTATAACTCCCTTGATAGCATACAAACACTTCAAATCATCAAATTCAGAAATCAGATTTTGTCAGAAAAATCGTCAGTGGCATACCGATAGTATACGGAAATTCCATATAATTCATAATTTCAGAAATTTACCAAATTACCATAGATAGCAGAAAATATCATTTCAAGACTTTTATTATATTGAAGCAAATATTTTTAACTTTAAGATAATTCGCTATTCGATAAAAACTCCACAGAATTCAAAATACCCAGTGAAAATATTCCAGAAAATACTCAAAACGTGCAAAAACATCATCTCAGAAACATACCAAAAGTTACGCGGTAAAACATTTATCAGCACAAAATGAAACCAGATATTCACTAACGGAAACAACATTCGAAACAGAAAAGTCGTCAAAATCCACATTTCTGAAAATTGAGAAAGGCGGAATGTGCCTTACCTCGAGTCGGTCAACTTTTCTAACTACGACGATGGACAAATACGGACTGAACTCGCCCAAAATCCACTTTTCTTCCTTTTTCCTTTATTTTCTCTCTCCTCATATAATTTTTTCTCTCTCTTCAAATGAATGTTTGGATATATAAAGGTGGATCGTACGGGACGATTCCTATTCGTTCCGGGACGATTTCTCCTGTGGATAAAATTCGTTCAGACGAAATTATTATCGTCTCAGGACGAGTTGCTCTCTAGAGAAATTTCATTCGGACGAACTTGACTTAGTCCTGGGACGAACCTCTCTGTCCATAGATTTTGAACTGATCATCTCGGACGATCCCACTTCATCCCGACGATCTTGGAAGAAAAAAATGGCTTTCACAATCTCCCCACCTTCAGAACAATGTCGTCCTCGACATTTGAAAAGCAAAACTGAGTCAGAACAAGCTCGGATACAACTGTCTCATATCTGACTCCTCCCAAGTAGCTTCTTTTGCTGTTCTATGTTTCCACTGAATCTTAACCATCGGAATCTGTTTACTTCTTAACTTCCGTACATCATAAGCCAAAATATTTTTAGGCTCTTTCTTGTACTGTAGATTTTCCTGAATCTCCACATCATCAGCAGAAAGTTTCTTTCCAGAATTAGATATCCACTTTCTCAAAGAGGATAGGTGAAACACATTATGTATATTAGACATCTGATCAGACAATAATAACCTATAAGCAGAATTTTTAATCCTTTCGATGATCTCAAAAGGTCCGATATATCTTGGACTGAGTTTGCTCACTCTTCCAAATCTGCTGACGCCTTTCATCGGACTGACTTTGACATGCACAAAGTCACCAACTTGAAATTCTACAAATCTGTGCTTCTGATTGTAATACTTCTATTGCATGTCTTGTGCAGCTTTCAATTTTTCCTTTATCAAATTGATTTTTATAACAGTTTCATCCACAAAAGTTGAACACATTTCTTGTCTATCTCCCACCTCAGTCAGAGTCAAAGGTGTTCTACACTTTCGACCATACAGAGCTTTGTAAGGTGCCATATCAATACTGGACTGATAACTATGATTGTATGCAAATTCTATCAATGGGATATGATCTTCTCAACTGCCTCCTAAATCCAAAACACATAACCTCAGAAGATCTTCCAGTACCTGAATAGTCCTCTCAGACTGTCCATCAGTATGCAAATGAAAAGCCGTATTGAAATGCAACTTTGTACCCAATCCTTGCTGAATACCTTTCCAAAGTCTGGAAGTAAACCGTTCATCTTGATCATATACAATCAATTTTGGCACACCATGCAATCAGACAATTTCTTTAACATATATATGAGCTAACTTATCCACCGGATCCATCTGTCTGATCGGAAGAAAATGTGCAGACTTTTTCAATCGATTGGCAATCACCAAAATAACATCATGCCCTTGCCTTGATCGAGGAAAACCCATAGCAAAATTCATCGTTACCTCCTCCCACTTCCACTCAAGGATAGGCAATGACGGCAAAAGACATCCTGGTCGCTGATGCTCTGCCTTCACTAACTGACAAGCTTCACATTTCGAAACAAATTATGCTATGTTCTTTTTCATTCCAGGCCATCAAAACAAGCTTTTCATATCTCCGTACATCTTACCACTTCCACGATGAATAGTATAGCTTGAATGATGAGATTCGTGCATAATCTCTTTTCTCAGATCTCCAGACATATGAACCCACAATATATTCTTACATAAAATAATACCAGAATCAAAAATTCGTATTTCAGGTTTCTTACCAGATTTTATCTGATTAATTAACTTCAAATATTCAGAGTCTGACTTCTGAGCTTCATGAATCTTCTCTTCCAAAGAAGACTGAATGTTCATCTGAGTCAACATACCCGAATATGAACCAGTAGAGGAAATCACCTCCAATTGTAATCTTTCTATGTCTCGTATTAGATACTTATCAGAAGTGAGCTGAACACATGGTAATACAAAGGATTTTCTGCTCAGAGCGTCTGCTACTATATTAGCCTTACCAGGCTGATACTGAATCATCAGATTATAGTCCTTGATCAACTCAAGCCATATTCTTTGCCTCAAATTCAGATCCTTCTGAGTGAATATGTACTTCAAACTCTTATGATCCATAAAGATCTCACACCTGATGCCATACAAGTAATGACGCCAAATTTTCAAAGCAAATACAACACCAGCCAATTCCAAATCATGCGTTGTGTAATTCTTGTTATGTGGTTTCAACTGTCTCGAAGCATAAGCTATTACCTGACCATACTGCATCAGAACACAACCCAAACCTTTCAGTGAAGCATCACTGAATACCTGAAATCCTTCCATACCAGATGGAAGTGCTAAAACTGGAGCAGAAGTCAAACAATCCTTCAATCTCTAAAAACAATCTTCACACTCTGGTGTCTAGATAAAAGCTACTGACTTCTGAGTCAGTCTCGTTAGAGGTGCGAAAATCTGAAAAAATTCATTCACAAACTTTCTATAATATCCGGTCATACCCAAGAAACTACGTATCTCAAACACCGTAGTAGGCCTCGGCCAATTAGCAACTGCCTGAACTTTCTAGGGATGAACAGAAATACCTTCATCGCTCACCACATGCCCCAGAAAAGAAATGCTCTTCAGCCAGAATTCGCACTTGGAGAATTTTGCATACAACTGATGTTGCCTCAAAGTCTCCAACACCATTCTCAAATGTCTGGCATGATCTTTCTCAGAAGCAAAATATATCAGAATATCATCTATAAAGACAATCACAAACTGATCCAGCTACTCATTGAACACTATGTTCATCAAATCCATAAAAACAACTAATGCATTGGTTACCCCAAATGGCATAACCAAAAACTCGTAGTGTCCATACCGAGTACTAAAAGCTATTTTCATCACATCAGTTTATCTCACCTTCACCTGATAGTATCCTGATATCAAATCAATCTTTGAGAATACAGAAGATCCAGCAAGTTAATCAAATAAATCATCAATCCGTGACAATGGATACTTATTATTGATTGTAACTTTATTCAAATCTCCATAATCAACACACATACGCATTGTCCCGTCCTTCTTCTTTACAAATAGAATAGGTGCTCCCCAAGGCGAAACACTATAATGAACAAATCCTCTATCCACCAACTCCTGGAGTTGAACTTTCAACTTTGCAAGTTCATTCGGTGCCATCTTATACAGAGCCTCAGATATCGGAGCTGTACCCGAAAATACGTCAATACAGAACTCAACATCTCTATCCTGTGGTAAACCAATCAACTCCTCAGGAAAAACATCTGAAAAATTTCATACAACCGGGATATCAGAAATAGAGCTCGCATCTATATTCATATCCCGTACCGAAGCCAAAAACACCGTACAACCCTTCTTGCACATTCTTCTGACTTCCAACACAGAAATCAAACATGATAAAACACCTCTTAACTCTTGGAATATACACCTTTCACCATCCATGAACAAGCTAACTTGTTTTTTCAAACAGTCAATCTGAGCCTCATACAGACTTAGATAATTCATACCCAAAATTATATCATACGAAGAAATCGGCAATAAAATTAAACAAGACTTCCACTTCTTGCTAGAAATTTCAATCTCATAGAAACAAAATTTTTGGGCTATCAAATTATTCCCAGCCGGCAAAAAAACATAAAGCGAAACAGGTAACATTACAGAATCCAGATGCAAAGCATCAAAACATCGCTCGAAAATAAACGAATGACTAGCTCCAGAATCAAATAAAAAATGACAGGGGTGTTCAAAAATGTAAATCATACCTATCACTACATCCGGAGCATCTCGAGCCTCTTGCTGATTTAAACTATACACACGTGGCTGAACTGGAGCTGGAGCTACAGAACTACTAGGCTCCCTCTGATTCCCACTAGGTGGTCTCCTTGCCACAGAACCCGAACCACCAGCTCTACTAGATGATCCTTTATAAATAGTACATGGGGGAACTGTCCTCAGCCTTCCTACCAGTTTAACAAAACTCTCAGATCTGAACTCAGGTCGTCGATCAAATCGAGCTTGTGAACACTCTGCTATCTGATGTCCTGGCTGACCACATCTGAAACACTGGCCAGTCATCCTGTAACACTGACCAAAATGTTATCGTCCACAAGTTTGGCACATAGGTGCCCCACTGACTGACCCAGAACTGATCACACTGCCACTACCAGAATTTGTAGTGGATCCTGACTGTCCACTCATCTTGAAGTCTCAAGATACAAATCTCTTCTTTCCAAAAAAATCACTTCCATATGTATCCCCACAGAATCTCTTCCTACTAGCAGTCCACCGCTGCTGAGTAGCCATCAGATCATTCTCTATCAGACGAGCTCTCTCAAAAGGCTCAGAAAAATCAAAAATATGAAATGGCACCAGGGGTTGCCTCAAACTATCTCGTAGTCCCCTCATAAATCTATAGCACTTCTCAGCAGAAGTACTCACCAACTGTGGAGCATATCCAACTAAAGCAGTAAACTCTGCCTCATACTGCATAACTGTCCTGCTCCCCTGAACCAACCTCAGAAAAGTCTCATATATTTGTTTCCTTGCAGAAGGGGATACAAATCAAGATCGAAATACCTCAAAAAATTCTTCCCAAGTAATAGAGAGTTTAGTTTACCTTAAAATTTCTCCCCCTGTTGGCCCATCCACCAGTGCTCTGCTTTGCCATCCAACAAAAAAATTGCTAACAGTACCTTCCTATTCTGAGGACATTGCATCCCGTCAAATATCTTTTCCAACATCCTTAATCCATCCTCATCTACTCTGGGCTCAACAGTGCCCTCAAATCTCAGAGGCTTCAATCTCAGAAATATTTGTAGATGTCTATCTACATCTTCAGATCGAACAGCAGTTACTCTATTCTGAGTCTTGCTCATCATCTAAGCAACCAACATAGCAAACTGCAAAACTGTATCAGAACCAACCACTGGGGAAGTACTATTCACAGGAGCTGCCTGACTAGCACTCTGCCCATCAGTCATATCTGAGTCTGGTAGATCCATAATCATACAAAATACAACTATGCACACAAAACAACACAATAAAAATCCAGACAAACCAGAACTACCCCGACAGACTTACAGATCAATTCCTATTGCTTTGTCTTACAATCCCAATTCCAAAACTATGCTTTGATACCACTTAAGTCATGTCATGACCCCGGCCAGAACGAATCCCTTCGCATCAGGTCGCGATGGAATAATCCAGGATCTAGCTTTGGAATTTGCTTTCAGACTTTCTTCCAATAAACAGACACACAGAAAACACAGAGCTACTATAAACATCCAAATATACAGAAATTCATCTAAAATTTCTTCCTCCTTTCATCAAAATAATCATGTATAATACAGTGCATGGCTACAGAAAGAAAGAACATAACAGAACAAAAAAGTCATGACTGTACAAAAATCAAAAGTACAAAATACCTAATCTCAGATCAAACACAGAACGGCTAGTCCAAGACTTCCTTCCCTTTCCCAGAACCTGAAAATCACGTAGATAATAAGAATGAGCTAACAGCTCAGTAAGACTACACCAGCCAATCAAAATCTCCAGAAACTCACATCTAAAATACATTAGAAAAGTAGCCGTACATAATTCAGATAATCGTACAGAAAATCATATAATCAGACAGGATACAGATACTTGATTAACAGAATATTCAAATCTCTGATACAGAAGAATTCATTTCATATAACATAATAGTCAAATCAGATTTTAAATCAGAATTATCTTCAAATCACAGAACAGACATAATCATATAAATCAAGCAC